CAGTGTTTACAGTTCACGTTCGACATCACATGTTCAATTCAGTTATGTGTTTTGTTTGTGAACAGTTGCAGAAATAATTTATGTATATTTATATATACAGTATACCTGTACAGTATATGTAAATTGAAAAATTTTAAATAAGAGAGAAAAACAAAATACGCGTAGCATTTAAAGTGTACTGTACAGTGTTGTCGCTTGGCGCGGGGTTGCAGTGTTTACAGTTCACGTTCGACATCACATGTTCAATTGATTTATGGGTTTTGTTTGTGAACAATTGTAGAAATAAGTTATGTAATATTTATGTATACTGTACAGTATATGTAAGTTGTAAAATTTTAAATAAGAGAGAAAACAAAATACGTAGCGTTTTAGACCCGCGCGCTCTGTTAACACCACACAATCAGTCTGAAACACTCGGGAAGTTTTTAGGCATCCTCAGTGATTTTTTATTACTGTTTCTACAATTTTGTGACTGGAAAAGAAGAATATCTCCGTGAAGCGTTCTGGTGAACGCATTTCCGGTGGTGATCGTAAAAGAAAGGCTATAACACTTGAAGAAAAGCTGATGTTGTCAAGCGTTTTGAAAATAAGGAAAGAAAATGTGATATTGTGCGTGCAACGGGAATAAAGGAGTCTACTTTACGCACCATTAGAGACAATGCGGCAAAGATTAAAGCAAGCTGTATTTCTGGAAAAACCTTGAGTGCTAGCAGAAGTGTGAGATCACGGCCAAAGGAACTTGAGGAGATGGAATGGATTCTAAGTGTTTGGATAGAAGATTAAATGAAAAAGCGATCTGGGACCAAGTTATATTCATATTTTTTCAAGGTAAAGTGTAACATTTACTGTATGATTTAATTATTAGATATGAATGTAACATTTATTTAGGCTGTGCTATCCTTTGTGTTAGGCTAACTACCAAATTTTTTTTGATTTCGAGTAATCTGCACCTAACCCTATTTTCTCCATAAGCCCTGTTATTTCTATTGCGCGAATTTGTAGAACGCGAGGTTTTACAAGAACACAACTATCGCGTTATAGCAGAACTGACTGTAGTATATATATATACTGTGTGTATATATATATATAGTGTGTATATATGTATAGTGTGTATATATGTATAGTGTATATATATATATATATATATATATATATATATATATATATATATATATATATATATATATATATATATATATATATATATATATATATATATATAATAAAAAAAAAAATAATAAATAATAAAATAAATAAATATTGAAGTGATAACTGTGGTAACATTATGAGACGTACATATTACTACCATGCTATTGTACTATTCCAGATGATACTAAATGTTACAAAATACTTCCTTGAGGTAAATGCATAGTATATATCAGGTGCCTCAAAGAGAGCTCAGGTTCTCAACTGGCTCAGCCATGTTAATATTATTATTATTATTATCCACTCTGTATCTGTATTTTTCTGGCTAAAAATGTTTGTCAATCAATCAAACAAGCAAGCAAGCATATTCGAGGATGTGTAATGGAAATGCTGAATTCTTTATTTATCGTCTCGCCAACGTTTTATGGCCATTTTCCATGCTTGTGTGGGATACTGTGGAACTGATCCATGGACATTAAACGCAAAAAGAAGAAGAAACAAAATTTGAAGTGAGATCTTGATAGGGGTAGAATAGAATGCAGAGAATAATAATAAATACCAAAATTAGGTAAAGATGTTGAGATAATAGTAATGTTGGAGAGTTTACCAAGTTTGCTGAGGTAGTGTTGACATATTGACAGAGTGGGTAAGGAAAGAGTGTGTACAGTTTAGGATAGTATAAAGAAGTGGATTGTAGAAGGGAGAGATGGAGGGATAGGGTGAAGGAAGCATTAGACATAAGGGGAAATCCTGGAAGCTGCAGAACATGTGGAGGATAGGAGAGCAGGACATCACAGCAGTTTAGAGTGACTGAATGAAGACAGAAAAGAAGAATCTGTGTTTGCTCCTCTTGTTCTTGGCTGGCCTACAGTGTACAGGGGAAAGGCTTGTAAGATGTCAAAAGAATTTACAGGCATGTTATATTGTATAACATCAGCAGAAAAAGTATTGAGCATTTCTTTTTAGTATGTGTAGGTTGAAAAAAAATTAGGGTGTATATTTTATACACATCTTTACAGCAATTTTTATTTTTTCTAGTACCCTGTGCAGGTATATACTATTTCCCATAAATCAAATACAACTCAGAATGCAGAAGAATTACTCATTATGAATACAGTACAATATAAGTGGCTTCACTTTTAAATAATTTACAGCAATTTCTTCTATAAATGGAGTAAGTTCATTTGTGACAACATAAAAGCTAAATATTGTCATCATTACAAATGTAATTTTATCTCTGAAAAAATATGTGAAGCTGACCTGGTCAATAGTGATGAGCTTTGTTAGACGAGTTTTCATCTGTATTCTGGCTGTTAAAGTAGATAATGACCTCCATATTCAGATTCAACATTCTTCATATACTGTAGTAGTTAGATTTATCCCCCTTCATTAGGCCACTGCAGTTGTTCATTTTAAACATCAGTGAGTTGTTTTGGACATTTAAGTTTTCACACATAAATTACAGTAATATTATTCTTCAATTAGGAATCGTGGGCCCCAGAGCAGTCTGGGTTTGACATTAAATTGGCATTTGGTAGTTTCAGATACTGTACTGTACATCTGAGGGATCTGATACAGTAATACTGCCATCATCAGTGATGAAGGCTAGATCACTTACTTGTGCATTATCACGCAATATTGTCACTTTTATCTGTTATAATTCACAGCATGTTTCTCTTGTGCTTGGGATAGTTATAAAGCACTTAATTAAAAGATAAATTCCCTCTCATTAGCCAAGTACTTTTCTACATATATACCCACTTATGCATGTGCCTAAAACACACACACACACACACACACACACACACACACACACCTCTACTTAGAATGTATACCTGTATTTGCATTAAAAATAATTACATTTAACTTGAATGAATTTAGTTTTGAATGTAAGCATGAATTGTTTTCTATAAAATGGTACTGTACAGTGTATACATTCACTGCATGTAAAATGTGTGTGAATATGTACAGTCAATCAGAAAACTATTTGAACTATTTGTACTTTGGGGGGGGGGGGGCATCAATGAAATTCAGAATGAACACTGCAAATCCTGTTACTGTGTCTCGGTAAGGTTGTCAAAATCCATCTTCCGTTGTGTTATGTTTTCTAACTTGATTTTGTAAGGATAGATTTTTGATCGACTGTACTGTACTGAATATTCATGGATTGAATTTGCTCATACAAAAAAGAAGTACAGTACGGTACATATAACTGTACAGTACATGCATTATAAATTATGACTATACTTATTGAGAGATAGATATATGCTTGAGTATTAAACTGCACATGTGTTAGTTATTATTGTGTGCATGAAGCTAGTTATATGGAATGTAGTTTATGTAAATAAACAAAATACTTTTATTCACTCATAATAAACAAAATACATGCAATTATTCTTACAGTACACACACACACACACACTCACACACACACACACACACACACACACACACACACACACACACTCACACACACACACATACACACATACAGTATATAATGTGTGTGTGTGTGAATTTTGAATACTGTATAATATTTAAATAATGTACATGTACCAATACTGTATTTAAATAAATTTACAACTTCCACTCTGGCAGCAACACTTATACAGTAGAATGTTTGATAATGGGTCTTACAGCAGCTCACCACTAAGCCAGTTTTTCCTTTTTTTTTTTTTTGCTTGTTGTATGCACACGCTGCCTCACCACATCACCCTCCCTAAACTTTGCTCTCATTCTTCGCACATTTCCTCTCTTACCTCAATAGACATTCTCTTCCTTGCTCCCCCCCCCCTTACTTCCATCCTCTAACCATTTTTGTTTTCCATCTTTGATTCTCACTTACTGTTAACTTGACCTTAGCACACCATTGTTATCATTTATTACCTATATTAACCTATATTCTGTTCATTACAGAATCTTACATTCTAATCACTAAACAAACAAAAAAAGTATTTTTATTTATTTATTTTTTTATTTTATTTTTTATTTATTTTTACACAACTTTCTGACAATTTGAAGTTCCCTATTTCCTTGATTTATATACGTAGACATGCATACAGTATGCATAGATATCCAGGTAACATATTTGGGTATAGATTGCAAACATTGATACATAATCCATATAAACATGCATGGGAGTCTGATTCATTAAACATAGTGTTGTTATAAGTATGCGGGTCAGGGTATTACAGTATACATTGGTGATTTGTTTACAGTTTATCCTAACAGCTAAGTTGCAGTGCACAAGCATTGCTTTTGTGGTATTTGCTGCTATTTTTTATTTTATTTTTGATTTCTTCCTTTTGATGATTATATACTGTACTTATAAATAGGAATTGTTTTGTGGTGCAATATAATATTCCTTAGTGATCCTTTTGTTTATTATACATTTGACTGATATATGCTTATAAGTTCATATTTTATCTTAGATACTAAAGCAGTTTACCATGATAGCCAGTTCTTCAGTTAGTGATGTCCAGTGTTTAGGAAATACAGTATGTGGTTAATACCGAGAGAATAGTTTAGTTTATGCTACAGTCATGAACAGTCATAGAATACAGTTACAGTATTAGTGTATAAGGAGTTTCAAAGATTATATCAATGTATTGAGAATTAGAATGACCTTTAGTGATGTAATGTAGTAATTGGAAATTAATGGTTTTATTAGTGAATAGGGAATATTTTTATCACTGTTAGAGAATAAGTTTAGAGAATTCTTATTATTTTATAGGAAATTCAGATCATTTTTTTCAGTTTATAAGGAATTAGGGAAAAAAATAGTAAAATCATTTATGTTTTGCTTTTTTAATCATTGTTTTTAATTGAATGATGTGTTCTCCCTGTCTTAATAGGTATGTTCTAGGAGAATTACGACGACCAGATCTGCTTCCTCATGTAAGTTCTCATAACCCGTCCTCAGCTTATTCCTGTGCCTTTGTCTGTCTTGCCTCTGATATTTACTGGATATACAATTTGCTGTCGTCGTCCCCTTAGTTGTAGTCTTCATGTTTGGATTGTTTTGTGTCCGATGGGTATCCAGTAGTTATGTATTTAGTGATGGTGTTTGTTCCTATTTCTTAGTGATTTTTTTTCTTTATTACTGACCTGCACAATATTTACAGTAGTTCATGTTTCTGAGATAAGGTCACCCACCTAATGTGACCCACTATTACTCTTATTACTTCCGGCTCATTCTGTCCCTCAGATTCTAGGTTAACATCACAGGACTGTACAGGAAGGAAGAGTTATGGGTGTTTGTGGTACAGTACAGCAGTAATGTGTGTATTTCTATCTACTGTCCTGGGTTCAGTCCCTGGCCTGTGACAGATCTGAGAAGGGTGTTATCCAGTATGACTCAACCAGACATTGCATTGTTTTTATGGTTATTCCGACTTCCTCCTGTACTAACACTGGACACTGAAGTTCATAACAAAGTAACAAAGAATATTTCAATCCTGACTGATGCATTAAAGGTTGGTTAAGAAATCTAAGATCCCTGTGAAGCCATCTTTATTATGTGAGCTGCCTGGCTATGGGCTTTGCCAAAAAATAGTACTTCATTTGCCATTCAAATAACTGGATGTGACAAGAATATATAAAATACTTATTGAATTACCTCCAACCATTAAGGTAGAGGGTTAACTTGTAGACTAAGTTAGGTAATACACGCATCACCTGAGCCAGTCAGTGGGTCTTAAAATGTGACGAGGATCAGTCCTTCATTGTTGAAATGAAAACAGGAAAGTTGTATAGGAAGTACTGTACAGTACTGTATTAAGAGGTTATTGAATACAGTATTCATTCACAGGGAAAGATCCGCACCCAATAAAGTATTATAAACGAGAAAGAAATGAAGGGACATTTACTTTGACTGAAGCGAAGTTGTAAGAGATCTGCTGATATTACATGAAGAAAATATACTTCAAGGTTTTTCAATAATGTTGTACTTTAGGACACGTACAGTAGTTTAAAAGAGCCATACTGTATGTATGTATGTATGTGTATGTGTATGTGGTTATCAGCATATACCTAGATCACGCGCACCTACAGTGATTTACTTGCATATATATATATATATATATATATATATATATATATATATATATATATATATATATATATATATATATATATATATATATATATATATATATATATATATATATATATATATATATATATATATATATATATATATATATATATATATATATATATATATATATATATAATGTATATATATACAGTATATAATTTTTTTTTTTTTTTTTAATACAGTACTGTACAAATAATACCAACTTCAGTTTTTTAGAGGGAGAGGGAGGGAATACAAAGGATGCTTTTCTTTACTTTAAGAATTGATATTGTACCTATATTATACTGTATTGCCAAATTTTCAGGACACAGTTCAGTACAGTAGAGTACAGTACCTCGGGCATCAATAGACTTCCAATTGTCTTTTGTAGAGATCATTAAATACAGTTATGTCCAATCACTCTTTAATTTGTTATGAGACTTTCTGTGTTTGGCTAATACAGTATTCTAAAAGTCCTCCTGGTAAATAACTAAACAGTGCATTGAATTGTTTACCAATTTCCACAGTTGCCAGAAAACAATGCTCTCTCGGGACTCTGTTCTGGGATGGTCTTAGCGTGGGAGGCTTACAAGTGTCCAAAGTAAGTGTAGTAATATAATCAGGTTGTATTTTGTTTAGAAAAAGTAGGAGTCTGTTATTAAGGAATTAATTATAGTAGAAGAATCCTGAACATTTTCTTCTGAAATTTCTGCAAAAACTTATGATCACTCATAGTATTAAATCCAAAGTGCTAATTAATTACTAATGGTTATAATTGCCTTCTTTTTTCAGATCTGTAATATTATTTGTTATTGAAGATGTTACTTACAATATTTGTGATCAGCGGTTCCATGAATTTGAAATCAGGCGACAAAGACCAGAGCTCCATGTTATTCGACGTAACCTGACGCAGATCAGCCAGACAGGACAGTTGACCGACGATAAGAGGCTTATAATGTAAGTTGTATCAAGTGTATGATTCATTTTCCAGACTTAGGTTCTTCTCTGACTGTTTCAATCCATAATTTCCCTGTCATCAGATGAAGGGGTGACAGCAGAGAATTTTGACCATGTTTGTCACCTTACTAGATGTTAAGGAGAAAAGTAAATGAAAAATGTTGCAAATAATTGTGAAATGTGATGAACTGAGAGTGAAGCTGAATTGGCAAATTAATAAAAATAACAGAACATATTTGGTAAGGCAGCCAGAGTGACTGACTGTTTGATGGAATCTGTTTTATTGTTGGCTCCTGCTACCCACATAGCACCAGACTGAGGAATGGCTGTATTAGAGTAAACTGTGTTCCTTGTCTAACTTCATGTGTTTAAAAGAATCTCGGCCCTATTGAGTGTGAGAGAGCAGGATGAAAAATTTATTAACTAACTGTAATTTATGCTTTGTTTACATTAATTATGTCATTTTCCTCTTATCTGAAAATTCTGTTTCGAAAATGACAGCCCATAGTTAACTTTCTCTTAAAAATATTATTACCAAGAGGATACTCGTGTCCATTATTAGCTGGATATTAAGTTGGTGATAACTGTCTTGTACCTGTGTTGAGATTAATGATTGGTTTCAGTCTGCCTGCATTAGAATGTGATCCTTCTTTAAAACTTCCATGGTTATTACAAATGGCTTAATCCACAGTGATGGTGATGAAGTTGCTGTTGTGTATTTCCGTGCCGGGTATGAGCCTGGCCACTACCACAGTGAAGCGGAGTGGGAAGCCCGACTTACTATAGAGAGGTCTAGAGCTATTAAGAGCCCCAGTATACAGTGCCATTTGGCTGGTACTAAAAAGGTAAAAATTTGTCACTTATTATATAATAATCTTCATCTTGATAATAAGAAATAGAAGTTATGTAAAATACTTTTGGGCTGTGCTTTGTTCCTTACATTATATGCGAGCTTATCAGAGTTGAAAAATCAGAATTTGGATGTTTCTTGGTGATTTATAGATTATCTGGAGGGAATGTTGGGTTGAATTTTTTCACAGAGATACAATAAAATAGTTAGTGCCAGACTTCATATGTCAAGTTGGGTTGTAACTCAGACTTAATTAATGCAATACAGTACACAAGCCTCCCTGTCTTGACTCAACTATAAATGGGATTTCCAAGATCAAGATTTTATAGTGCAAACATTATCAACCATTGAAGTTATGTGATACGTCTCTTCCAGGTTCAGCAAGAAATAGCTCGTCCAGGTATACTCAAGAAATTCCTCCCAGATTCTGAAGCAGAACTTGTGTCCAACCTTTTCACTGGCCTCTATACTCTTGATCTGGTAAGTTTTAGTTGTAGTAAATAAAGTTGTGAGGAGTTTAAATGTATAATACAGTAACTACCGGAAAGGACCCTTAATTATAGTCATCCAGCTGCATTACCTTGTTGGGAGATCTTTCAAATTTAACATATTTTTTACTTAAAACAAGGGTGCTGAAGGTGACGCTGCAATACGAATGGCCACGGAGGACCCTGAACGCTTTGTCTTGAAGCCACAGCGGGAAGGTGGAGGCAATAATTTTTATGGTGATGAAATCAGGACAGTAAGTATGAACCCTCACCCAGTTTTGTTTCTCTTTCTCAAGATATAAAGTTATATTATTCTTTCATTAGGTCATTTATTGTTTAGATTCATTTTTCTTTGTTTCACAATTTTCTGTTATTTTTGCTTTGTGGTTGTTGTTCCCTGTGGACTGTACTAATGTTGGGCTGCATTAACATTCACTTTTTTTGTAGGTTTTGGAAAAGATGAAAGATTCATCAGAAAGAGAGGCCTACATCCTCATGGATAGAATCCGCCCTCCCGTCCAGCACAACTACCTTGTTCGACCCCATGAATCTGTGAAACTGGTCGAGGTGGTATCAGAGTTGGGCATCTTTGGTGTGGTTCTCGGGTGAGTTAAAAATGGATGTAGACAGTGGTCCCTCGGTTAACGAACGCAATTCGTTTCAGAAGGTCGTTCGTTAACCGAAACCATTGTTTCAATGGGATATTGGGTAATTGGTTCCAGCTCACAGTGACCTGGGTGAATTTAATTTGCATTGCTGGAATTCTTATAAGATATTGATTAATTTGAATGTAAACATAGAAGAGATCACTGAATTGGCTGAGTACCTCCTCAGCTTATCAGCTGATGTTCAAAACAAAATGTGATTTTCTTAAGGATTTCGTTTATCAAATTTTTTTTGTTGACCGAATTGAAGATTCTTATGGAAGGTAATTCGTTAACCGAGGTGTTCGTTAACCGAAGGACCACTGTATTGGAGTAGTTGTAGGATAACATAGTGCAAGAACAGTGCTACTTTTAACTAGAAGTATTTGGGAGATAAAACTTAAGGAATGTAGATGCAGGTAGTAATGGCAAGCATAGTAGTGTCATAGAAAATGTGTCAAGTACTGTATGTCAGACATGTTTTCTGTCCTGCTGCCTTTTCAAGGAGGCCCTAGAAATGGCAGAACACAGCATTAAAAATCATTATCTTCCCATTTTTATTGTTTAGAGGTACTATTGCCACTTAGATTATTGTTGTAGTGAACTTAGCCACCACTTGTGGAATATACTTGTTTTTAATTAATAGAAAAAGCTTGAAGTGGAGACTTACAGCAAATCTTACACTTTTAAAGGTTCTTATGTCATAATGATTATCTTGGCACCTGTTATCTGCACTGCGACATGGTTCATTTTAGTTCATCCAATTTAAGTTTGTATTTTTATTTATTTTTTCCCCTTTATTCCAGGACAAATCAGGTAAATTTAATCTGTCCATTACTATGGTTAATTTTGTATTTTCATAATTTATTTTCCCTCAATCCAGTACAGATAAGGAGATCACCATCAACACGTATTCCGGACACATGCTGCGGACAAAGCCCTCCTCCGTCAACGAGGGTGGGGTGGCCGCAGGTCTTGGTGCTCTTGATTCTGTTTTTCTATTTGATTGATTATAATTACAATTAAATGTAAAGTAAAATCTCTCTAATTCATCTCTCTTTTTTCAAATTGTTGTTGGTTATTGGAAACTAAGTGAAATTTTTCGGAGAACAACGAAACGCGAGTAAAACTTAGGAAGGTATGTTACGTACAGTACAATACTCGGTTTATTTAGAAATAATTCAGATAGCCTTTAAACTTAAGGTATTTATTTGTATTGATATAAATTAGTACAGGTGGTAGAGTTTGTTATTGGTTGAAGATCTCAGGAGGGAAGTTACAGATAATTTAACTCCTAGGCTTCTCACCATCACCCACCACCCCTTCCTCTTGCAATTGAAATAATCTTGGTGAATAAGAGAGGTTTTCTGTAGTGTATCTATTTTTTCTCATAGTTTGCAAATGTTAAATTTTTTGTCTGTTTTTCATAAAAAAATCTGTAAATGACAAGAAAAATATTGATAGTAAAATGTTCAAGAGTTGTACTGTATATTGATTGTAATGTAGGAGCTTTTTATTCATTCATAATACTGTACTTCACTGTACTCTACTGCATACATTCAAGGAAATTTCATCTATATTTTTTATACCAGTAAAGTTGAGGTATCAACTGGCAATGTTCCTTAATTTGTGGATACAAATTTATTTAGTTACAACCAGCAATGTGTTAATCCGTCTACGATAGGAAGGCCTGGGACCACACCTCACTCATATAACACCATCCGTGATGGAATTACTACACCATGTCAGGTCCCTCAACACCATCCGTGATGGAATTACTACACCATGTCAGGTCCCTCAACACCATCTGTGAGGGAATTACTACACCATGTCAGGTCCCTCATAACACCATCTGTGAGGGAATTACTACACCACGTAAGGTTCCTCATAACACCATCTGTGAGGGAACTACTACACACATTCTTTCATTCTTTTCATTAACTGTCATTCTTTCATTCTTATTTCTGTAAAATATTTATTTATTTATTTGTTTTTAATGATTTTTCTTTCCACAACAAGACCCGAAAGCTGGTTAACCACCATCACTTTACTCAAGCCGTCGTCAGTCACCCTTCAGGAGCACATTCTCCATTCATTCACGCACACTCCTGCATGTATCCTACACCCCATCCTTCCATCTCTTTCTTGGTCTTCCTATCTCTATCCTATCATCCTTAGCTGAATTGTACAGTACCTCTACTTCCTTTTACCCAATCCTTTAATGTACAGTGCTTCCCATCCACTATTGTTATTATTATCCACTCTGTATCTGTCTGGCTAAATAAACTGTTTCAATGTCAATCACTATCACTCAGTAAAACCATTCCTCAACAGGCTCTCATCCACTGTCTACTATAACTCCTACACACATCACATGTCATCACATCTTTCACTTGTACATTTCCTTGTTTGTATATTTCTTATCATCAGCGTCCTGTTTATCCCACATTTTCGTCTTGAAAGTTTGTCATGTCTGCCGCTTCTAATTTTCTCCTGGCTTTCGATTCGCACTCATAATAATCCCTCCCCCTCCTAACATTCCCATATAGTTTTATACAGTCTATATATATAATTATTTTTTAATTCACCCACTGTCAGTTTGTTGCTTTCTACTGCTCTGGTTCAGTCCTTCATTCATCGTTCTATTTAATGTCACGTCCACTCCCAAATATCTGAAACGTCCCACTTCTTCCCGTTGGTCTCCATAAACCTAGATTTTATTAATCCATGTCTCCATTTTCCTCTTCTTTTTCATCACTTTTAGTTAGCTTAGAGTATGAGAGATAAATGATGGTCTATATTTTAATGCTTTGGCTAACTATTGTAATGTTTGTATATGAGAGGCAATAATAAATAAGTAATTAAAGCATTATTATTACTCAACCATACAAGACATGTTTTAGGTTTTTTCGGGTCTTGTGTTCCAGGGAGTGTACAGTACATGTTTGTTTGTGATCACCTGTATGTATGTCCAAGTATACACAGCACAAAATGTATCTTTATAGCTGGTCGGTCCAATGGATTTCAGAATGATTATTAGGGCTCTTGTCATATCTGAAGAGTTGTTATGCCAGTGTGTGTTTTTGTTTTTGTTTCAAAATTATTGCCACATATGGAACACCATCGGAGTCGATAAAGTACTGTAAATTTCTGTCAACATTTTGGTATTCACTGGAGAGTTTCAAACATCATGTACACCCATTATTATTTTTGACGGTGAAACCTTAAGCTTTCAGAAAATTACATGTTGACGCCTCCACATCGCTATGGGTAAGGCTTTATCAAGATACTGGAGCCACCAGAAACAATCAGACGGACAAAACTTTACTTCTGAGTTGATGGCCTCCATGCCCTCAGAGACTCGATTGTGTGATCAATGCAGAGGATTCCTACACAAAATACAGTATACAGTATTTGTTAAATAAAATTTATCCTAATTTTCTCTGTTATTCCATGAAATAAATTCTTTTACTACTGTATTAAACTCAGTTATGTCACCATTGTGTTTGGTCATTGTGAAAGCAAAATAAAATCAATTTTAAACAAAGCTCACAGAGTAACCCAGCAAGAACCAAGACTCCCTGAAGGTCACAGTTTTGGCATCTACATCATGCAGACAAAAAATGCTGCTTCATCTCTTCAGGGGTTAAGAGTGGGGAATTTTGTTTTTTTCATGGAGAATTTTATCTCCAATTACATAATCGGAAAATGTGCATCAATTTACAAAAGGTCTTCCAAGAGCATAACCCTCTTGTAAATCAGGGTCAGCCTGTACATGATCAAGGGTAATGAAAACTTTTGATAAATGACTCGCTCCCTAATATGCGAGTAATATCATCTCTCTCTATTGTGTATTTTCATATATGTTAGGGACAATGTAAATGGTGCAGTGCTTGCAAATGTCAAGAGCAAGTGCTACTAGTCCATAACCTTGTGTTACCTGTAGATGTGTACAGTTTCATGTGGATTCATAGTTGTGCACAGCCTTGTGTATAATATGATAAAAGTGGGTAAAGAACAAACATTTATCTCCTGGAACCATTCTATATTCTTCATGTAATTCTTGTATGACAACGAATTCACGAGTCGTAATTCAAAATGCTCTTTGCTGTTGTGTTGGTATCAGTTGTGACAAAAGGTATACCTTACTAATGCATCAAGACCACCCTCATTCCACCCAGCTGTGAATGGGTACCTGACTTTACAGTTCAGAAAATAAAAGTTAAATCAGTACTGGAACAGTGGCTCCTCCCTTGAAAGAAAAAAACTGTCTCCTGTATACTGTATTGTACAGTACAGTATATGCATTATGGAACCTTCTTCAAAATATGTGAATGACCAGTCCAGATACCTATAACTAAGGAAAAGGACCTTGACATCTTCACTGCCGAGTCTAGAAACAACACAACAAGTATGAGTGGCGGGGAAGAAAGGCAATCAAGCTTTAAGAATCGGAACTCGTATCTTTCAATGTAAAAATGAAAGTTCCGTAATCACATGGCTCAACAATCGCTCGAACATCCCTTCCTGGACTCTTATATATAAGCATGGAGATAACACCAACAAAGAAATGACAAACGGAAAAGTGCAGTGTTGAGTGACTAGAATCATTCCTGAAATCAGACATTTCCAATAAACAGACAAGCTACCGGTAATGGCTTTGAGCTTAACGAGGTATAATTTACAGACATTTAAAATCCTGAACAAGATGGAAAACATAAACTAGTTACATATACCCAAGATGTCATTCTGTGATCAGATTAAAGGAAGTGCAGTACAGTAACTACTTCACCTCTGAAATAGCTTGGGTATTGAAGCAGTGGAAGCAAAAACGATACTAAAATCTTAAAGTAACTTTGAACAGACTAGATAAAAGTAGACGCCATACAATGCATGAGTTCCCCACCCCCAGTGATGTGGTGACCACTTTGTAAAGAAATGAGGTATGATTAATGGAACAGGAGAGAACTGCCAGTACTGTGCTGTATAATGTCACACACACTACTGTACAGCATTATGGGGGATAATGAAAAAGCTGCTAATTTTGATGGATTTTATTCCCATGTCAAGCACAAAGAGAATATACATCAGTCTTAATGTTATAGAGGGTAATAAATTTACACCACAATTACATACAGTACTTAAGAAAAAATTAAAATACGTACCATGATTATGAATAAATATGCAAGATTGTGAAAATACAATAATACGTATGCATGGCATGATGAGTTTGGGTGAAATTATGTACACATTTTACAGCTTGAAAGATGATAAATCTTTAAACCAATTCCTCTGTATTTCTAAAATTATTTGAAGCTTTACAGATGAGTGTCGTTAATGCATGAATTTATCCTTCACGTACGGTCAGTGATAGTGGATACTTGGTCTGCGTCAGTGAGTGAGGTCACCCATCTAGACTTGTTGAAACAAACTGTCACTGTAGTCTTGTCACTCAGAATCACTAGTCAAGGTAAGTGCCCAGAACTTTAGTGAGCACAAGTTTCCTCCAGTAATCTATCCCCTGGAATCTATAAAGTAATGATTGCAACTACTGTTGATGTCAAATTAATCTGGTAATACATTAATAATAGATAGGTGCATAATGAATTTTGTTACATGAAGAATGTTGGTGTAATTTCAATTGGGATTTGATATATTACTCTTGCTGGTAAAATATTTCAACTACAGTACTGTATATGAGAGTTATATTCAACTTTAATAGGATTGTGCTAAAGTATCACTCGTCTTAAGTTTTCATGGTAATGTTACGGTTAACAGCCACTATAAATTCATTGCATCAACAGATAACATGTCACTTATATAGTGGTCAGAACTTTACATGTGATTATATATACTGTATATATTTCCAAACATTACCTGTCTCCAGGAATGCTCAAGAACACCTAACATAATTACTGATAATGACACAGGTGCACCAACAGTAGCCTCACAGTATTCTAGATGTAATTAGTGTACAGTACACAGAAAACAATCCATGTGTTACATAAGGATCAAAAGAAGAGTTTATTTCAGATTCTAGTGTGTGTGTGTGTGTGATATAAGCCATTTTACAACTTGAATTGTCCTTCCTGCATTTCACCATAAAAGGAAGGTGGCTTCAGGTGTGAGATGGTAATAACATCATTGTGCTGTAATTGTAATTACTTGTCCTGGTGTATACAGAATATCACTGTGGTGATATTTTCACCATCTATGAGGTGTTTTTAACAACATCTAAATACAGTACCACCTGTCATATTTAGGAAATGAACTCGTCATGAATTAACAAGCCATTTGTTACTGGTGTTATTCTTAATGAGGCATCAGGTGATGAACATTATAAAATTCTTTGTGAAGATGATAAGGCTACATTAATAATAGTGGTAAAATGCATCACTATATGCACATACGGTAAGATGTCCCAAAGTTTGGTGTGGACAAATAGTTTAACTGATCCCTATTAGCTTTATGGGATCTATTGAAGTAAAGGTTCTTTGCTGTAGGGTTCAGTAGTGGAGCCACTGTGTAAATAAGAAGGGGAGGAGGATGGTGATGAGTGAAGCAGTCTGTGTAGCACTGCTACTGCTAGGGGTGCAGTGGTGTCTGTTGGAACCTACACAGGATGCGTAGGCCATGACGTGGGCAATGTAATTCTGCTCGTGAAGGGTGTGGAAAAGATGTGCCATTGGACCTGAAAAAGTTTTAAAACATCTTGGTTAATCTTCTGGTGTCTGAAAAACATGTGAGCTTCTAACATATAAACATAGTCATGTGTAACTGAAAGTAAATTTGTCAAACTAAACTTGCCCATGAAGACACCTCACAACTACACAGTGATAAGGGAAGCTACTGACCCAGAGCATAAATGGGTACGTCGTCGCCACCGTGCGTCTCAGAGTTCATGGGGACGGCCGCCAACTGGGTATAGTCCCACTTCTCGACCATCTCCCTCGTCACATTGGGCCGTACAACCTGGTTATTGTTGTTCTTTCCTGACCCCACCGAGTAGTTGTAGCCAGGGCCGTTGGCATACATTAGGGTAGTGTAAGGCAGGCCAACGTTATCCAGAGCTGCCAGACCTGAAGACACGACATACACCTGTTTAGAATTCATGGTGTGTATATGCATGTTTTTTTTTTTTTTAATGAAATAAAATGGAAGACTTGATAGACATATAGTACATGTTTGGAGGTGTAGAGTAAAACAGGTATGGAGGATGTAGTGATACATGTGTTGCAGAGGCCTGGTACAGGTGAAGAGTCAGGTACAGGTGTAGTGGTCAAGTGCAATACAGGATTAGTTCTGATTTGAAGATTGATACAGGTTTGAAGGGTGTAGGACAGATGTGGAAAATATAGAATTGGTGTAGGACAGAGTCTGTTGCAGGTGTGAAAACATACCTATGATCTCTTGGCCTCGTTCTGGGTAGCCGCTGATAGACATAGTGTGGGCGTGGTCAGCAGTCACAATGATTAGGGTATCCTGGAAGAAAAAGGGGTCATCATATCATCACAAAAATTCTCTCTCTCTCTTTCTCTCTCTTTCTCTCGCTCTCTCTCTCTCTCTTTCTCTCGCTCTCTCTCTCTCTCTCTCTCTCTCTCTCTCTCTCTCTCTCTGTAGACTATAACGTACCTCTTGACTGGTCAATTTGAGGGCCATTTCGACAGCACGATCCATAGCCACAGTCTCGTCCAAGGCACGGTGGGCTACTGTGTCATGATGGGCGTGGTCAATGCGTCCACCTTCCACCTGGCAAGAGTAGTAGTAAACGTTATTGAACAGATATAAGTTGGGTTCACAGTGTATGGTCTTACCACTTGACCACATCAGCACTACATTACTACAACCCTCATCACCACTTCACCACAACTTGACTGCAACCTAATCACTTCACTACACCACCATTTCATCACACAACCATCTCACCAACTCACAAAAAAAATGACTTACCAGGAGGAAGAAGCCCTTGGGTTCCTGCTTAAGGATGTTGATCGCTGTCTCGGTCATCTCGGCCAGGGTGGGAACATCAAGTTTCTTCTGAATTTTCTCGAACTCATATGGAAGGTGACCGTTGGCGAACAGTCCTGAGGAAAAGACACAGTAAGAGAGAAGCTGACTCCTTCATTACAGTATTATTTCTATATGCCTATGGTGTTACGGTCCACCACTAAAAGATAGAGAGCAGGTTGGGATGTGGGAGGGAGAAAAGTAGAATGGAAAGGTGAGAGGAAGAGAAAGAGTGAGGGAAGGAGGTTGAGAGGGTCTGTGACAGTGAAGTATGGGAGGATGATAACTCGAGTGAAAGGATGAGGGAGGGGTGAAAAGTGAGAGGGTAAAAAAGGGGAAGAAAGAGATGGAAAACATGCATGAATTTGAATACTTTCCTAAAATTTCAGAGAAGGAATGACGTGATTCAATGGTTCTATTTTTTTCATGCACCCATCTAAAATAAAATTATTCCAAACAAATAGAATTGGAAGAAATTGAGCAATTGTGTCTATAATTTTCTCAAAATGTTTTCTTTGATAATACAGTTTGCCATATACAGTATCTACAGTGATTTGCTAGGGTGGGTAAGTAGGGGTACATGTATAAGGTGCTTACCCATGAAGAACTCGACATTTGTGGTGTCTACTTCGAGCATGGCTGTTTTGTTTCTGGCGAAGGCCCAAGTCACACCATCACTTTTCTTTTTATTCATCCAGGTCTGAACCAGGTTGCGTTTGTCAGTCCTGGTGCAGTTGGCCCACTGGGTGTCTAAAGGATCATCTGGGGTGCCCACGGCAAAGGCATCCAGGTTCTGGTACCCACCACCCATCACCACCTGTAGGGATGGCAGGAGTAATTCTCTCTCTCTTTGTCAAAAATAAACAGATCTACTTCATACAATGAATAACCCCATCCTTTACTCACTTTTATGTATCACTAGCCTCCTCCCTGACTCTTATTGTTGTAGTACAAAACAACCTTTCCTTCTCCCTCCCTCACTCACATTCAGGGAATGTCCAGGCTCGTCTTCCACCAGCTGTCTTGCGATATCCTTCACTTTATTGCCACACAATTTTATCGCTTCCTTGGGGATTGCTCCATCACACTCCCAGTCACGGTCAGCGACGTGAGCGTAGGTGCCAGCCGGAGTCGCGTGTGTCACCCTGGTCGACGTAACCACACCTGGGAGTCAAAGACCATCAAGGAATCAAAGGTTATTAAACATTTGGAGTTGTAGGTCACCTGGGGTCTAAGGTTACCTAATGTCAAGTACCACCCAGAGTTATTAGTCTCTGTTTAGTACAGGTAATTTAGTTTTATTTGTTTTTATATTTATCCATCTTTATCTCCATGCCTATCTTCCATACAGGTGAGGAAAGATTTGTTATCTCTCTCTCGCTTTCTTCCATCATTACCAGTTCTCTTGCCAGCATCCTGGGACCACTTGACGATGGAGGAGACCTTGTTCTTTTCGTTAACGCTGGAACAATCCTTATACCTGGCTGTCCCGTCCACACCGATCGTCTTGTAGTTGGTTTTGACACCTGTAAGATAAGCTGTGGCGGTGCTGGCACTGTCTGACACTTGCTTATTTACATTGTACGTCTGGCAGGGGAAACAGGAAGAAGGAGAATTTGTTATTGCCTGATATGGAACGATATAACTTCTTTATGCTAACATTGTATGCCTGAGAGGGGAGACAACAAGCAAACGAGTTAATGTCTGGCTGCGGGAATTCACTGTACAGTATATATAATTTTATCGGTAAGGAAGAAAATTGACACATCGACTCATTATGATTTTTTTATTATTATTATTATTATAGTCTATAGTTACTTAGAAAACTAAGTTTGTGGAGGAATTATGAAAACCTTCCAAGAAATGAATTCAAGAGCCCAGTCCACCTACCCTTCTACAGGTATTAGAACCTCTCCACAAGCATATATATATATACAGTACCAATAATAACACACACACATAAACACACACACACTGCTGCTAAGATAACACAGGTACACGGTGTAACACTCACAACCTTGTTTTCACTGACATCAACAAAACTGCTTTAGTAAGAACATGGTAACCAGCTAGGAGTCTCCTTCTTCAAGTGTTATCATGGTATCCCCCTCCTGCCCCTGCTATCACAGAAAACAATTTATAAGGTAACAAACTATTGTAAGGTGATAATGGTGATACGAGAAGCACCTAAAAGAAAAAAAAAAGAGGTTGTGTCAAAGGTGGCAGGCATATTTTCATTATCAGCTGTAGATGATGATTTTAGTTATGTCGTAATGAGTGGATGATTGGACTGTTGTCTTGGGGGTCCTAATCACTTAAGATAACCTCTGGAGGAGGGTTATCTTAATTGTTTATGAGGCAACATCTACGTCTGATGATTAAAGGTGGTGGTTATCTGTGCTGTCGTGGCGTGAAAGTGTGAGGGAGGGAGGGTCTTGTAGGTTGAAGGAGGGGAAGGGAAGGAAGATCTCGTAGGTTGAGAGAGAGGGGGGCTTACTTTTGAGAGTCCTACGTGGGGGAAGGTCTCGAAGGTGAGGCTGCCTTCCTCTCCGCCCCGGTTTTCTTTCTGGCCCTTGTAGATCCTAGCAGCTGTAATGGTGGGCACACTCATCCCATCACCCAGAAACATAATGACATTCTTAGCTACTCCTAGATTTTGCTTAACATTCATCGTCCTGCTAAGTTCTTCCTGAGCTAAGTTGTTCCAGTAGTATTGATCTGGGGAGAAAGAGAGAGATGGGATACAGTTATGAGTTGTGTATATTTTAAGTCATAATAAATGAATAGTCTCACATTCTACCTACATTTAGTACTGTTGTTTTACGAATATAATTAAGGTGTATACAGGTACATGATAAATGTTTTTCTTTGCCTAAAAATGGATATAATGGAATAGAAATACGTCACTAGTGAAATAAGAGTGGAACCTAACACAACCTTACAAAATCTTTACTTATCCTAATCTAATGTAACCAAACCTAATTAAATCTAACTTAATTTATTGTGGCCAAACCTAAGTTCTCCTAGCCTAACCTAACCAAACCTCATCTAATCTAACCAAACCTAATATAACCTAACCTACCTAACCTAACATTATAACATAAACTAACCTAACCAAACCAATGCACTAGGGTTCCTAATAATCGTGATATCCATTTCTTATATATTTTTTGCTAATGATATGTAACGTTAAATTTATTTTGCAAAAAAAATTACAAAAGTTCCATCATGTGAACTTTTTGTTCTTAAAATTTATATAGCTCAGGTTATTTTTTTAATCTACAGTAACTGCCATGAATTAACTAAATGATAATTAGTCGATACATAGTTAATAATTATAATATTTATAATAATAATATCATGAATATTATTATTATTACCAGCAAACCGATTCTCGAGAATTTTATCTTTGCAATCAATAATTCAGCTATTTAATTGAAAGTGATATTCAGTGGATCTCTTTGATACTACGGTAACACCTTTAAACTAATTCATAAATCATTTAAGTCCCACATTTAAACTGTTTACGGCTATTTTCCTTGTTGCTATAAAAGAAAATGAAACGTGTACATTGGAGGACTTATTTACATTTTTATTGTGGCTCTATGACATAGCAATTGTTTTACTTTAATGTATTTTATTTTATCCTCTTCGCTACTAATCGGCCTCGTGATCGGAGATGGTGAGATCACTTGTACCCACAAATTAAACAACAATAAACCTACCAAGCACTTACTCACTCTTGGGTGTTTATCACAAATTAGAAACAGGCATGATATAACTTTCCATTGCTTTCTGAAGGATACAGAACTGAGAAGAAGATGGATTCACTTGTGCTGGAGGAAACATTTCATAAATGTTGATAATTCCGAAATATACAGCTTGCATTTTGAGGTCAGTGCGTTTGAGGAGAACTTGAAATATAATCTGCTTGGTCTACCAGTACCAAGAATGAAGAAATACCAACATTACAACTGCCTGCCGTGTTTAAAAGGTAAGCCTCTATTATTATCAGCTACACTTTATTCAAAACAGGTACAGTATATACATCCCAAAAATAATAAAGTATAATCGAGTTACTTTCTAGTACTGTATACTCCGCAAAATTACGTCTACCCTTTAATTAATTAAAGAAAAGATGTTCATGTGAGAGGTTATTTCCACACGTCGATACATCTTTTCTAACCCAAGCCTAGCCCGTTTAAGAGCCGTGATATCGCTCTCTCAGTGGGTAAATAACAGGTTAATGTAGCATTTCCGGTTTTTTTTATGTGAGTGAACCTTCCCGCCACTCGTTTTCTATTGACACTTACGCAAGAGGGTCGCTCAGCTGTGACTAGACGAGGTGATGCAACGAGAGAGAGGGAGGCAGACGAACATAGCACTGGCACTCTTTACCATCACTATCTCACTCCCACTCCCACAGCCAACAGCTTATTTCACATGAATAATAACCACCCTGACATTAACCTAAACTAACGTAATCTAGCCTAGCAAGATTAATCATCAGGTGAAATAAACTGATAGCGACTAGCCTCCAGGACGTCACATAGAACATATAGTATAGTTATATCACTAAACCCCCGCATTTCCCTAGGGTTTTCTTGGTTACTTATATATTGTGAGAAGCTCTTTGAAGATGTCTCAAATTCCTAAGAAGTGGATAAGGTAGGATAACGTCACACTGGTGGAATAATAGTAATTAGACCCATTGGAGGAAAAAAAGTGAGTCTTTGATAATCCGGATTGATAGGTATTGCAAGGCGGTGAGTCAGTCACCTTGGTAAACAATAATCAAACCTTGTGCTTGAGTTAGCCAGCCGCATAATCCTTCGTTCTACGTTTCTTATATCCTATTCTGCCGACTGGTAACACAATACACTGCAGGCTTCAACTTCCTGGGTCAAGCAAATCAGGGTAAGTGATTTCTGTTGCGTGTTTGTGTCAGTTTCTCACACATAAACTACGACAATTGTTAGGAAGGCAGTGATCCAAACTTCTCGGATCCTATCTCGTAGTGAAATATTTTATCTTATTCTTTTAGAAACAACGTTACAAGTACAAATACAAGAACGGGTACAGTTATAAATAAAGGTAGAAGTATACAGCTACAAATACAAGCTCAATAAAACCTTTATACTTGCTTACTAAAGATGTTATCGAATACGTGACTCGACAACCCAATATCGGCGTAATTATCACATCTATACCTTGAGAGCTGATATCGGGGGCAAGATAAGAGAGCATTTCTCCGATATAAGTTGGTAAAAGATAAGTAGATCTCACCCCATATACCCCCAATCTCCTCCCCCCTTCCACTACCTCGTCACCTGTCCCATTGGCTCGCTGCCTGGCCCGTTTTCAGAAAGCTTTTACAGAATACGGAAGATTATTATACTACGTTAATTGTCGTATATGTGTCGTGTTGATACTCTCTCTTTTATTAGGAAACGACCGAGTTGATCGATTGGCCAATGAGACAACAACAAAGAAAATTGACCACGACCTTGGCCTATCCAATGCTGTACTTAAAAACACACAGGTTAAAGTCATGACCTCTGATCTATAAGAACTGAGTAATGCACAGAGACCTGACAGTTGTAGCATTAGTAAATATGACAAATTTTGTGACAAGAGGTACCGGTATGGCCAACACAAGGGCATAACCAGACAATGTGATGTAATCGTGGCCAGAATTAGGCTAGGATACAGACACATCTGGCAAGCTGTGCCAATACCGGAGCACTCAGTATGTGAACTTTGTGATAAACCTTTAAAGCATGCACTTAAACATTATATTATTGAATGAGACACTGTCAAAGACTTCAGGCCACCTGGCATATTGTATCATGAACCCCGACCACCAGGCTTATTGTATCATGAATTAAGTAACTACTACACTGAATTAGGAGTCCTTGAAGCTATTCTGGCAGTTTGTTCTTTATTTATTACCCACGGTGATTACCCCCCAGTTTATAATTATGGCACTAGTGAATATAATTTATTTTATTGTATCTTGTGTATGAACCTCTGCCCAGCGTGGTAGATATCAGTGACAGCAACGCCCTCACTGTCAAAACCTGACTGAACTACTCTGATGAGCCATAATTGTACCTTCATATTGTCAATAATGTTGTTAAACTAAACTCTCTCTCTACCGGTGTCATGGCCTGTGTGTGTGTAAGTCTGAGGTGTGTATGTGTGTGTGTGTGACTAAGCAAGTGTGTATAGTATGTACTTACCTTCATTCACAACTGTCTTGTATTTCTTAGCGTAGAGGGTCTTGGCGTGGGCTTCCCCTGGCAGGAGGACCACCACCACCACCAGCAGCAGCGAGGGCAGAGTTACAAACCTCATCTTCTCTCAGCACCAACCTGACGGAGGAGGAACAATAAACGTCAGTAATATATCTATCAGTCTATCTATCTATTATTATCACTGCTGTTATTATTATTATTAGTAGTAGTAGTAGTGGTAGTAGTAGTAGTGGTAGTAGTAGTAGTAGTTTCATCATAAACACACTTGTATACCAGTTATCAAGAGTTTCCCGCCTCCCGTAAAGTGATCTGATATGGGTCGAGATTCAATGGGTTAAATTTATCACCTAGCTGGTGTTAAGTGACCGAATCTGATGAAGATTAAGTGCTAGTACAATATTGAGTGGATGTTATAATGTACCACTGAGCTATAGTGGGCGATAAAGGGTGCACAGTATATTAGTTTAGTATTTACAGTAGTTTTACGTTATTCAGGATATGTGTAATTTATTTTTCTAGCAGTTAAGGTGTCATGTGTTACGACCCTCATTATCGAGTGTTAGTACAAGAGGAAACACTAGTACTCGAGAAAACCTGTCATGTTTGGGAGGGTCACACTGGATAACACCCTTCTCACATCTGTCCAGGACTGAGGATTGAACCCATACCACAGTCCGAGGGATACCCACTTTACGGCTATGCTAAAGACTCAAGTTTGTTTATCTATTGCGCATATTTAATTATTTACCATTCCACTTATGAGCTTTAATAGACGTTTGGGCGATTGATTGAGTCTTTATAAGGTGCCTATCAGAGGGGCATAGTTGGCATGATGCAAGTTGTAGAACGTGTATGTGTGTAAAGAAGACCTATTTATAATGTGTCTGGAGACCTAAAGAGACTTAGTACCCCTGTGCCTTGAACCACAAAAGACACACACAGGATGGTTGACGTCTGTATGTTGCCAAAATATGTGTGTGTGTGTGGGGGGTGGGGGGGTTATAAAGAGTACTAAATGGCTATGATATTTTGCTCACTTTTCCCTTTGACGATTTTTATGACATCTCAGTCACGTAATCATACAGCTGGTCCCTCCCTCTCTCCCTCCTTCCTTCCTTCTCTCCCTTATACAACCTCGCCCTTCATCTCTCCCTCCCTTATGTATCCTCGCCCCCCATCCCTCCCTTCTTCACCCTCTCCTTCCTTTCTACCCATTCCTCTGACTTTTATCGCCTCCTCCTTTCCTTCTTCCCTCACCCTCGTCTCTCACTTTTGCCTCCCCACTCTTTCCCATCCTACCTCCCTTCTTCCTTTCACCCTTTCCCCGTTCTTCTTACCCCTCCTTCCCTTACCTTCCTCCTTCTCTCTCCTTCCCTTCCTCTTCTCCCCCCTCCTTCCTACAAGTCTCTCTCTCACACACACACACCATCACAACACTTAGGATAATAGATATTAATAACAAATCACCATAGCAACACAAAGACCACCCCAATACACCTCCCCCCCTCCCCCACACACACTGTAAAGAAATGTTCCCAGTAACCCTCTCCATCACCACGGCTTATCAGTGGTAACCGTATGAGGAGACTGTGTGCCCCGTCAAGCTTTAATTAATCCTCTCTTACCTGCATATGACTCAGGTATTGGTCTAGACTAGAGAGTCGGCCTTGGTTTGGTATATGAGTGTCTTTTATGAGTGTGTATTTCTTACTTTGTCTGTCTATCTGTCTGTCTCTACCTCTGTCTGTCTGGGTTAGGTTGGTTAGTTAGGTTAGATTGATTTAATATAAGTTAGGTAAGGTCCGGCCTGCGTCAAGCGTTGAATGAGACGCCACAGCTGACCCCGACATTGAAAAGGTTACTGCCGCCTTATGTTCACTATTTTAAACCAGCGGTGCTATATTATTACCCTCATAAAGAATAATAAAAATCCGTTTTCTTTGCTAACTTTCGAGACGAGGGAACTATGTTAGAAATATACTATGAACATAACCACATAATCCATTCACAAAACCACCTGACACGTATTAACTAAATCTAACATAATCTAACTATTTTACATTAATTTCCCTTAGTTGGGTTAGATTTGTGCTATCTGCATTCATAACAAATGTAGTATCGTAGTACCCCGTCCTGCTCGTCGTTGTCGTGTAATCATGGGTAATTTACTCTCCATCTCGCTGGCGGCATCTATAATAAGCTCGTAAGTAGAACCAGATGATGGCGACGGCATTGGGCAGATGTGTTCAAACACCTTCCTCATTTCTTCCACGTCATGGGTTCGGATTCTCAAACATTAGTACCGTACGTTAAATCTCTCTCCTATAATGCTTAACTGAGGACGTAAATACGAACATTTTGACTGACTGATACTTATTTATTAACACAAAAAATATATTTTTCAAAATGGAATCAAAATTATTCTTGATTATAACTAGACACATTTACTGAGCACTAAACAGAGGACAATGTTGACGTAGAGAAGATTCATCAATGTGGACCAACTGTGCTGGTAGTCTAACTTTAAACTTTAACTGAGAGTAACGTACACTTATACTTACGTTACTTATGTGTGTTCTACAAGGTCTTGGTGTTACTTACGTTACTTATGTGTTCTACTACAAGGTCTTGGTGTTACTTACGTTACTTATGTGTGTTCTACTACAAGGTCTTGGTGTTACGTTACTTATGTGTTCAACTACAAGGTCTTGGTGTTACTTACTTATATGTGTGTTCTACTACAAGGTCTTGGTGTTACTTACGTTACTTATGTGTTCTACTACAAGGTCTTGGTGTTACTTACGTTACTTATGTGTTTTACTACAAGGTCTTGGTGTTACTTACATGTGTTGTGGACGAAGATATCTCAGTTTGTTAGTGCAGATATTCAACTGTTTACATAATACTCGTCTACTGTAATCAATACTGCTAGGCTGACGGGCGACTGACTGACTGTACTACACGTCTCTCTCTCTCTCTCTCTCTTGTATAGTGTGGTAGAGAGAGGAAGATATGATGGCAGGGAGAGAGGAAGAGGAGGATATCAGGAGGAGAGATGGGATGGAGAGGAAGAGGTGAAGGAAGAGGAGGAACCAGAGAGAGAGAGAGAGAGAGAGAGAGAGAGAGAGAGAGAGAGAGAGAGAGAGAGAGACCCTGCCTTACTGGACACCACTCTTTTCACATCTTACTCAAGTCAGCGAGGGATCGAACCAGTACATGAAGGTTTGACTGACTGACTGACTGACTCACTCACTCCAGAAGATAAACCAATATAAGAAAAATATAAAAAAAATTCCCACTTAACAAAAACACACAGAAACCAACACACATACCTCTGATTAATATGTAGAACCACTTACAGTCTTACATATTGTCTTAGGTTGAGTTACATATTACCAGAGAGGCAAACAGAAAATAAAAACTCAACACTATTATGAAAAACTGCCCGAGAAAGAACCGCTCCACTTAGTTATTTCTCCACAAAACAAAATCAATTCGAGTACTATTACTATTACCATCACTATTGGGTAAATAGTGGTAAGTCGTGGTATCCGTGGTATTTCTCCTCCTTACCTTCAGTGTGTGTGTGTGTGTACGATACGACCACTGAGCGTAGACTGACCAACATCACCCACCCGCCCGCTGTCATCACCTCCCTCACCACGGAAGACCCCGGGTTGGCCATTCCCATGATCCCTTGGACCAGACCACAACACTTTACAGCGCTACCAATAGTAAACGCTGGGACATTCAATTATTTTTTTTTTACCTCTAGTAAGCTAAAGGTCAAGAGCGTTTAGAGAAGAGTAATTCTCCTGAGATGTACAACTTAAAAGGCTTTTTTTTTTATATCACTTCTGCTGTTTTAGTGTCCTGGATTACCATCGCATGCATAAGTCGTTCTTGGCACGTTATCCCGATTATCCTTGGCGGGATTTACGTAGAGGTGAGCGGTAAACCAGTTCATGATTAGACATTACGAAACTCACATCCAGCCAGCAAAAAATTATGGTTTTTATTCTGAAATACTGATCATGTTTCTGTTCTGTTCACTTAAGCAGTTATTTGATGTTTCTGTGGTTTTATTGTTTATCTTAACCCCCTCCAAGCGCTACATCCGGACTGCCGTTATACCATTTCCTCAGGTTTCGTCCCAAGTATGTATTTATCTGGTTGGGTGTGACCTTGTAATGCTCTGGTGTGTGTGCGTGTGTGTGCGCGCACCTTAACACTAACACAATGCTTCAAGAATTTGGATTTTACAGTACGGCTAATTGACAAAAAAAAATCTCCAAATTAAAAATATATACAAACTTGTTATTTCTTTAAGGCGTTAAGTTATTTCAACAAACCTACAATACATATTTAAACATCATCATCATCATTAAATCTTCCATGTTGAAAAAAAATACCCCGGCATGAAAAAGCAAACGGTGGACGGAGAAATTGTTACCGAACATTCTCCAAAACGTAACACCGACTTCATAATCCTAGACTGCCCTCACTAGCCTATAATCTGCTCACCTGTCATAAAAAACAAAGGAATATTATTTTGCGAAACTGAAGTAACTTGTTCCCTCAGGTGTGACGAAAGATCAGGTGGACTGAATCTCGTGGAAATTATTTACATGGACAGACAGACAGACAGACATATCCCATAAGCACACTATTGTGGGTTTTTTTACGAAATTGTTGACCACTTCGTTATATTTCTTCACTTTCTACGATAAGAACAGCTTCACCTACTTAGATTTTGTTAGTTTATCATTAATTTTTATTCCTTCGTCACTGCTTATAATTTATCATTTAGATTCCTCAAAGGACATAACGTAATGTCGATGATAACTTGTACGTTAACTTTGTATAACTTCACCCTAAAGAACCCCATTTTTTTTATTTCGTTATACTGTACTTACACTGTAGGTTCTTAATGCTTGTAAAAATAGAATTTAGATGTTTTTTTTTTCAAGACAGTTTTAAATTCAATGCATTTTACCGTCTACAGTACTACACCTCTTTAATTCTCGACATATATACAATAATTACAAGCAATATTTATTACTTACAGAATATAATTAAAACACTCCGGGGTTCAGATTAATAGCGAGACATGTTTCAAATGTCTCACCAAAATAACCAAACTGTATAAGATCCAGACGTTCCCGAGTACTGTACACAACGAGTACTGTACACAACGAGTACTGTACACAAACGATCGAGAATCTAGCCCACACAGTTGGAGTATTATCGGTAAGAGAGAGGTAGTGGAGGGCGTTCATGCACTAGAGGCTTCACCTGCAGACTCACTGAGGACTGGCAGGTGTTAGATTACGTCACTGAATATATCTTGAGTTTTATTATTATTATTATTATTATTATTATTATTATTATTATTATTATTATTGTTGTTGTTGTTAGTATTGTTATTGTTATTATTATTATTATTATTATTATTAGCAGTAGTAGTAGTATTGTTATTGTTATTATTATTGTTATTATTATTAGCAGTAGTAGTAGTATTGTATTAATTAAGTCAAACATAATCACAACTACCTGTATGTGACATCTATAAACTGATTAACATTACCTGTTATGAATTTTTAAAAGATTCAACCATTGCGTTAGATTATCCTGTACAGTATATTATAGAGTTGAGTGAACGCATCTAAAAGGTTAACATACACTAACGTTAACTATCATCCTTACTAAAAACCCGAGATAAATAAAATAACAACAAAGATAAAGAGTTAATTGAATAATAGTCTACAGAAAACGAAATAAATTCTCGAATATTTCTACAGTCATTTAGTTAGGTTAGTTTATTTATTTTTATTTTTTTGCATGATACCGCAACCTTCATGACAAGAGGCCATTTTACAAGGTGTGGGGGGGGGGGATGATTGTCTGCAGTGCGTAGTTCCAAGACGAGGGAGGACTCTGAATTGTAAGAGAATTATCAATTATCAAAATTATGTTATTACCAACACCAAAAATATATAACGCTTTTGTTTTAGATCATTATTGAAGGTTTCATTACGTGTGTGTGTGTGTGTGTGTGTGTGTGTGTGTGTGTGCGTGTGGAATTAGTCTTACCCGTTTGCTCAAGGTTACCAGACAAGCCTCCTCCCCAACCTTCCATCCCTCCATGCACTCCAACCCTCCTCTTCCGTTCCACTCTCCCATTTATCGCCTTTCTATGCTTCCTTTTCCATCCTCTGTCTCTCTTCCCCCTTCTCTCTCCTCTCATATTCTTCCCTCTCTTTTATCCAACATCCCTTCCTCTTCCCCCTCCCTCCTCCCTCCTTCCCCCTCACCTGGTTTAAGATCTAAATAACCTGACAGACAGACAGACAGACAGACAGACAGACAGACAGACCACAAGTGAACGAGAAATACCAGGAAGAGGTGATGCGGGGGAAGTGGCTATGTTTGTTTACTCCTCTCTCTCTCTCTCTCTCTCTCTCTCTCTCTCTCTCTCTCTCTCTCTCTCTCGGTAGCATATGGGAAGGAAGGAGGTTCAATAGGTGAGGTAGGGAGGCAGGAGGGAGGGAAGAAAGTAGGAAAGAGAAAGTGACGGGACGGAAACTGGTGAAAGTGACAGAGAGAAAGAAAGACGGAAGGGAAAAATGAAGAAGGAAAAGAAAGGGAGAAGAAAAAAGGGAAAGAAGGAAAGAAAGGATTGGTGGAAAGGGTTGGACAAGTACGAGAAGGGGAGGACGAAGTAGAAGGGAGAGAAACAACGAAGAAGGAAGAAAGGGAGAGGAAAGAAGGAATGGAAGAAGTAAGCAGATGAGGGAGAGAGAGAGAAGGGGAGAGAGGGGAGAGGGAAGAAGGGAGGAAAGGAATAAGAAACTGGGGAAGAGAGAGAGGAAAGGAGAGATGAAGAGAGAGAGAGAGAGAGAGAGAGAGAGGACTAAAGCAACACTCCTCCACACAGCCACCAGAGGACGTCCTAAGTACAGTATTATCAATTAAGCTTCTTCGTCAGCCGCTAGTGAGGGTCATTCAGTCACCACGGCCAAGGGTACTTTTATTATGCCCCGAGTCTTATTTCTCTGGCCAAGGGTACAACTACAGCAGAATGCTTGTATATAACTGAACACCATAATAGGTTCTAATACTTTTCGTCGATGTTTATTATTTCTTGTACAGGATCGACCGCCATACAGAAAACATATCCGAGGCTCCAATGTTTTCTTCTTTTTGTGACGCTTATAATCTGTTGTTGGCATCTATGAAATTCTACAAGCATTCAAAATCAACGTTATTGTCTGTTTATTCAATTTGAACGTTAATATTTATCTAATGCAAGTATTGATATAATGTTTAAAAGTACATATTAAAAATTTTCTTTAATACTTTTTAATACAGGTAGTATTTTTTTTATATAGAGACATATAAAGCAAGAACTGGAGATATGAAGCTGCCTGCGTGCTTGTGTAATGAGAGATGTGCATTCAAGCAGTAATTTTAACCACTTTACATATATGAAGGACATGCGAGTTTGGCTGTAGTGATTATAGCTGTAATGCATATTCGTTACTAGTAGCGGGGGTCGTAGGATACGTGCTTAAAATATTCACGGGAGCTATTGTTATTAAGTAAACACAACGAATATATGCATATATCAAATAACATCATAACGAATAGATAAATAAATAAATAGGTAAGACTAAGATAAGATCAAAATTCTTATTTGTTAGTCTCTCTCTCTCTCTCTCTCTCTCTCTCTCTCTCTCTCTCTCTCTCTCTCTCTCTCTCTCTCTCACTACAAGGCGAGAACAGCGTATATGCCCGGAACAGTCTTGCAACATGCTGGATATGGTCATGAAAAAGCGTGCAATACCATGTTGAAATGTTGCAATGAGAGTAATGGTCTCTCTCTCTCTCTCTCTCTGGACATCTGCCTCTCTGTGTTAGTCTATCTATCTGCTGTACACCTGAGGCAGTACAAAAATAGGAATGTACACACGAGGGGCTGTAAACACGAAGATGTTCACACGAGACGCCATTACTGTCACACACACACACACACACCACTAAGCCTAGACGTTCAGCTGTTATCCTCCGCCCATCACAACATCCCCCTTCTACCTCTAATTCATCTTAACCAATCATTCTTATCTCTCATTAAAACATTCCCTTGGATCACCCTCATTAGCTTGGCCTATAAGAGGGACTAATTAGGTCATTATTTCATAGGTAAGACGGATATAAGTTTAAAATTAGTCTCTGTCAGTCGATAATCTCTCCCTGTCTCTCTTTCAATGAGGTCCTTCTGTTACCTCTCCTCCATGTTCCTTTTCGTTTAATTTGTCCCTATTTTAAAGATTTTTATTGAGGTCTTGTGTGATTATTGTAACATTATTGACTTTTTTCCCGTCATCTTTATACAGTGTGAGGTAAGATCCTAACTTAACCAACCCACACCGATAGTTGATGTTGTTTTTCTTCTCAAATATATAACGTGAGCCCTGAAGGTATGTACAGTACAGTAGGGTCTGGTAGTGTGTGTGTGGTAACAGTCCAGTGAAGGCAGCAAGGTCGGTACTGTACTAAACTGTCTTCGTTCCTATACACCCTAAAGCTCTGAGGGGTTTTGGTTGCGTTTCTGTATTTACTTGATGTGTGGGGGAAATATCTTTGGTAGTTTTTATTATGATTTTTGTCTATATTTACTTTA